TCTTTTAGAAAATTCACGACCAGTTGCCCAACAGAACTTTTCAACCTTAACCATGACCTGGATGACTGAGAATCATCATAGACACCTAACCCTAACCCTAACCCCAACCCCTAAACCCTAAACCCTAACCCTAAACCCTAACCTTAACCCTAACCCTAAACCCTAACCCCAACCTCAACCCCAACAATGAATAATTTCTATTATAAAAGAACAGTTGCGAAGAAGTGACAGGTCAGTGTCTAATGCTCACTGCTATATACTGAGGATTTTTCTTCAGTAAAATTGATATGTCTGCTTTCCCAGGACAAGGACATGCCTGCTCCTGGCTGATGGTGTCTCTAGCAGTAGAAAATTACCCTCTATGAGGGTCAAGTCAAGTCAGTTTTATTGTATAGATTCACAAATCACATTTGTCTAATTGGACTTCACAGTTTTAAATTCATATTTAAGTTAAACTTAATTAACATTTAACAGGGGGGGGGGGGGGAAGGGGGGGGGGGAACGGCAAAAGGAAAAAAAAAAAAAGGAAGGTAGAAAATAATACAAATTCCCGCCTCTTGCAGTCAATAAATCTGTTGACATCTGTTTGTGTTTGTGTGCGCTCCGCTCAAAACACACACTATTTCACCGTTACTGCTGGCAGATATTCTGCTCCGTCATACGCAGCTTACAGTAATGATTACATCATGTTGATCAGAGGGCCGACTATTTTGAAGAGGGTTTCCAAAGCAGCTGTTACAGCCGTTGTTATCAGATTCACACTTGATTTAACTGTGTATAAATAACAGTCACTGAAATATCTGTAGGAGGCAACCAGCTTCAGCTCATTTCACAACTAAAGTTCCCAATACAGATACACAGATAAACCCCATCTATGGGAGTAACCACAAAACCTAGCTTGTAACTCGTATGTAACAGTGTAACGTTACAGCCAATTGCCAGCAGCGTGATTAACATCGAAAGACGAGGCATTTTTTAGCACACAGCCCTAGTGTTGGTCCAGAGCACTACTTCTCAAATAGTGGTAATTATTGGTTACGAGAACAAAACTCTTTGGACTTTTTGTATATGCTGAAGGAAATCGTAATCCAAAAGTAATCCGTAAGCCAAAATTGCCAATATTAGTTGCTCTAACCAAAATCGGAATTTGCCAAAAATTTGCGATCTGCATCTCTACATCCATCCTAACAAACAAAGTTTCAAGATGAAATGTTTAGGTGCTGCACAATATATCCCATCCACTAACAGGTGCTATGACAAAAACACAGTTAGTGTTAAGTACTTAACCTGTCAGCGGTCATAGAATTCACAAACACCCTACCTTATGCATTCCAGAAACATACACCTTATTGAAAAAAAAAAAAGAAATAGGAAGCACTTAACGTGAAAAATTACCTAGACCTCACAGGACCATTTTCTATGCATGCACAAGGATGCACTTAACGTGAAAAATTACCTAGATCTCACAGGACCATTTTCTATGCATGCACTTTGGCTTTGAATGGAGTTGGAACCTGTTATTTCATTGTGACATCGTGTGGTACACAACAACCTTGTGTAGACGCATTAGTGAGTCTCTTACTATACCGTTCATAATAAGTGGTTAAAGGGAAGCTAATGGATGATAGCTTATCAGAAACAGGAAGTCCATAACTCAGTTTAGACAGGGCACTCTCTGAGGAGAATACTGTTTACTTTACCACAAAAAGCATATTAGGAGACTGTTAGTGGTTTGAACCACTCATGTGTTTCCTTGTGCATTTAGAACTTTTCGTTCCTCTTCAACCAATATCACAGTGAATAAGGCAAAGCTTATAGAAATTTGTTATGTAATGTTAATTAAGTTAGATTGATTTTAACTGGTTGATGATGTTTTTTTTTTGCATCAATTATTTATGCATTCTCATGCAATTATAGCCTTGGTGTTGTTCAATTGATTTTCTTGAAATGGTTTGCTGGGAGAAACATACTGAGGAACACTTCAGTTTTCAGTATGAACAGCTATCTTTATCCTGTAATTCATTATTCCATTAACAATTGACCATTATTTTATTACACGTTAACGCAGTTTGTCATTCATTATTTTTATATTATTTTTTAATTATTTATTTCATTTTATTATTGTAATAGTCAGAGGTGGAAAACGTAATAGTAAAAAAATGTAATTAAGTAAGAGTATCTTTACTTTGCTTGAATTCTACTCAAGTAAAAGTAGCTGTAAGCCGCATGGTTGCAGCGCCTTACGGCTCTCCTTTTCAGTGATTTTTCTTTTCCTATCACTCTTTTTCTCACTACTTGTACTGCGAACATCCAGTACACCCGCCAAACGTTTTTGGGCATCGGGAACATACACCAGATACGTGTTTTTCGTGTGACTTCCACCACAAACACAACATCCCCTTTCTTCCTTCTCTTTTTTGCAGCTTCTTGCACTGCATTAGGAATGGCTACAATTTCGTGGTACTGAAAGTATAATGATAATAATAAAGAATATTGCTGTTCTTTTCTCAAGTTTGTTTTTCTTTTCGCCGTCGTACATCTTGTTGTCGTCACTGTGGTCCTGCTTGGTGGCTCGTATGATGGGTCATTGGACATGGTTCAGAACACCTCCGTTAACCTGTCGTCTTCCACTATGTTTATCGGCCTGCAGTTCATCGCTATTCACTTGGCTAGAACACAGTCTGTCGGTGGCAGACTTGCTCACACGCGGGATGTTCTCCTCAAGATTAGTTAGGCGAAAAGCTTTGCTATGGCTCGTTAAATTGCCAACGCCTTCGCTGCTAACGTTAGCTGTGGCTGCACTCGCGACTGGGTGCTTTGCGTTGATGTGGTAGGCTAAACATGAGCTGCTTTGGTGGCAAGCAAATTCCTTCTTACAAAGAAGGCATATCACTCTACCTTTATCAATGGTGCCATCTGTAATGATAAGTAATGTTAAGTTAATGAGTTGCAGTTCTACCCCCTGCCACCAGAGGGCTGCAGATATAATGTATTCCCCGGATGTGTGTAGGTGTTAGAAGTCATCACGGACGAATAAGAGTGATGACAGCGTACCTGTATGCATGCTTACACCATCGTTAATAAACGTGTTCAGTGAAGAACCCAAGTTTCTTTATTTACTTAAGAAACATTACATGGTACCAGGAGTGGTCCAACAGATGTCATGGAAAGTGTGAAGCCGCCTGAACCTCTGAATTGGACGGGAAATGTGGACTGCGAGTGGCGAACGTTTAAGCAACGATTTAAGCTGTATCTGCAGGCACTGGGCCTGGACACAAAGCCAGACGCGCGGAAAATAGCACTGCTTCTCACCGTCGCGGGACCTCAGGCTGTGGAGGTATATAATACGTTCATATTTGCTGAAAGGGATCACCAGGAACAGTTCGACAAGGTTGTGGACAAATTTGATGAACACTGTTCACCAAAGAAGAACGAGACCTTCGAGCGGTATGTGTTTCGATCCCGCATGCAATTGCAAGGTGAAAGTTTTGATGCTTTTGTGACGGACTTGAAATTGAAAGCAAGAACATGTAACTTCGGAGACTTGAAAGACTCAATGATTCGTGACCAAATAGTGTTCGGAGTGATCGAAAAAAAAATGAGAGAGAGGTTACTACGGGAGCCTGAACTGAAGTTAGCTGATGCTATCAAAATTGGCAACGCCAGCGAACTTGCTCAGCAGCATGCAAAAATATTTAGCGGTCAGAAGGATCAGGAGAGTGCAACGACGCACGTGGCTGCAGTGCATAAGCAAATTCAAAGACAGCGGATGAAACAAAGAAGGATGTCGGTCTGCAGAGAGTCATCCAGCTGATGAATGAGGATTGGCCACGGGGTGAGTGTCAACAATATTACAACATTAGAGGGGAGCTGAGTTTGGTTAATGGACTGCTGTTGCGGAAGAACAGAATAGTCATTCCTCAGTCTCTGAGACCAGACATGCTTAAAAGATTACATGAAGGGCATCTAGGAATGGAAAAGTGCAAGAGAAGGGCTAGAACCTCGATCTATTGGCCAAGCATAAATGCTGATATAGACAGGATGGTGTCAAGATGTGCCACATGTCTAAAACATCAAGCAAAGCAGGCAAAAGAGCCCATGGCAATCACAGAGATACCTGACGAGCCCTGGCAAAAAGTTGGGACTGATTTGTTCTACTTGGATGGAAAGAATTACCTGCTGGTAATCGACTACCTATCCAACTATCCAGAAATTGCACTGCTTCCCAACATGTCAGCGGCCTGTGTGATTAAGCACATGAAATCTATCTTTGCCAGACACGGGATTCCTCAAGTTGTGTACAGTGACAACGGTCCCTCCTACAGCTGCAAAGAATTTCAGGATTTTGCGCAAGAATATGACTTTTGTCATGTGACTTCGAGTCCCCTGTATGCCCAATCAAACGGAAAGGCAGAGAAAGGTGTGCACATAGTCAAACAGCTGCTCAAGAAAGCACAAGAAAGTCATTCAGATCCATACTTAGCTCTGCTGAGTTATCGAGCTTCGCCTCTTGAGCATGGCCTGTCCCCTGCAGAAATTCTTATGGGACGCAGATTACGCACTACACTTCGCTACACCTCTGAACAGAAACAGAAGGAAGTGAAACAAAAACAAAAAGATCTTCAAAAGAGACAAAAAGCAAATTATGACAAGTCAACAAAAAGCTTAGTACCACTGGCTAGGCATGACACCGTGAGAATACATGATTCCAGCACCTGGAGCAAGAAAGCAACAGTTCTTGAAGAAGTGAGTCCAAGATCTTATAATGTCAAAACAGAAGATGGTCAAGTCCTCAGAAGAAATCGACGGAGTCTACTAAAAACACAAGACACCTGGCAGGAACAGACAGAGGAAGATTCTGAGGGAGATCCAGCCTCCACCACATCAGAGGATCCACTGCCAGATGATCACCAGAGGGCTGTAGAGACTGACTTGCCAGTGCTGAGAAGATCATCGCGCCCTGTCAAAGCACCTGACAGGCTGAATCTATAAGGACTATGAGCTGTATCCTTTTCAGTGAAGCTAGAGTTCATGTTTATGTTGTTTATTGAGTAATGTTAAGCTGAAAAGAAGAAGAAAAAAATCAATGGGTTCATAGTCATATGTGAGTGTTAAAATAATATAAAATACTTGGTGTGTGATGTTTTCATCTCAAGAAAAAGGGGGATGTAATGATAAGTAATGTTAAGTTAATGAGTTGCAGTTCTACCCCCTGCCACCAGAGGGCTGCAGATATAATGTATTCCCCGGATGTGTGTAGGTGTGTTAGAAGTCATCACGGACGAATAAGAGTGATGACAGCGTACCTGTATGCATGCTTACACCATCGTTAATAAACGTGTTCAGTGAAGAACCCAAGTTTCTTTATTTACTTAAGAAACATTACACCATCGGGATGTTTTTGAAATGTAAACTTCCCGTTCATTAGACGGACAACTCTCACACGCTTTTCCATTTTCAACTCAAGCACAAGAAGCCTAACACATAAAAACGTGCTAAATGTGTCTGCAATTAATTAATTACGATTAATGAGTTAATTTGACACCCCTAGTTTTTATACATGATTAGGATAATTTAATTAGAGACCAACTGCAATGAAAATGTTATCTGACTCCATTAAAATAGTGGGAAATCCAAACACCCACTCACTTTTCTTTCAGTTAATGCAGATTGTTTTTCACCACATTTAATTTTTTACTCAGTAACAGGTTATTTTGCAATGTAGAAAAGTAAAACACTTGAGTCAAAATGTACTTAAGTAAAAGTAAAATTACAACCCTGCAAGCCTTCAGGTATTGGATATGCCCTGTAGGCCCATACTGTTAGCTGTCTGTCTGTCTTTGTTGGACAGCTTCTGCCTCTGCCAAGTGAACGTCGGGTTCAGCTAGCCTTTAGCATTAACCCAGCCTGATGTTCCCTAATTAGAACATTAGTTAACACAGGAAGAAGTGATCTCACTATAACAACATAATGTTTCATTTCAGCCAACTCTCAGCTTCCTCCATGAGATTTCCATTGTTGGGAATATTGACCGGATGTGTTTCTACTACTACTAATACCACAGTACTTTGTTTCAAAATGTGGAAATTTCGAGCTACACAATGCTAACATTTCTGTTATATCTTTTTTTCTATTATAGGTTATGGAGAGATATATCCTGTTACCTTGCCTGGTAAAGTGGTATGTGTAATTTATGCCATGGTAGGCATCCCTCTCATGCTTCTGGTCATCCTAGATGTGGGAGACTTTCTTGCTATGCTCATGACCAGAGCCTATATCCATATTCACAGACTTTTCAAACTTCTCTGCTCCCACACCTGGTCACCACTGAAGGATCGTAAAAGAGCAGTGGACAGGAGCCAGTGGGCACTAGAGGATGGTACGTTTGTTTACAGCCATGACGTTGTGATTCAGGAACCACTTGACATTAGACATGTGCTGCACAGCCAAGTGGATGTTCGGCACAAATCCATCCAACTTGAAAACAACAAGGAGATATTTGAGAAGATTCTGGCCAGGGAAAATCTACTGAGAAAGGGACCACTGCTCAGAACTTTTTCCTGCCCAGAACTGAATCGATTGCCACCACCACCAAAAGGGTACGTCATATGGGACTTTACAGGATTAGGTGATGGAATGGAAATGTTGGATGTGCCCTTTGTGCTCATTCTTTTGATCGTCTTTGCCTACATTTTCTTTGTTGGTTTGATTCTGCCAATATGGGAAACTGAATTCAAGGGCTTTGACCCTTATTACTTCTGCTTCATTACCCTAACCACCATTGGATTTGGTGATATTGTACCTAATCATCCTAAGTTTTTCATGCTCACCTCACTGTTCATCATTGCTGGCATGGCCATTATGTCCATGGCTTTTAAGCTTAGTCAAACCCGAATTGTGAGTTTCTATCAACACTTCATTAAGGTTGTTAGCTTTAGAGCATGTTCAAATTTTCGAAAGTGAGAAGTTGAAAACATAAAAATATGAACCAATGTGTACTTTGTAGTGGCTATCTGGTGATACAAGCATGAACAAAGTTTGAAATGTGCATGTGCCAAATGCTTTTTCCCAGTAAAGATAGGCGGTATTGAACTAAAGACAGAATCTTTAGGTGCTGCCTATACTGTAGTGTTTTTATAGATACAGCATTATGCCTGTGGTGGGCCACTGGTTAACCTGCATCGATTGTCCTTTATTCTAAGCAGCATAGGATGGACACAAATGTGTGGTACTTGCTTGTTAATGGTTACTATTTTTTCATATTCACCGCAACATCAAATAAACGTTTTAATTGTAAAATGTGCTTGTTGATATGTTGGTATTACCATATTAATGTTAAATAACATAATAATTAATGATAATAATAATATTGATATTAACAAAAAAAGATTATTATTATCATGACATTTCATTAAAAATGCGTAATAGATTGTCTAAAACCGTATTTTTCAGACTATAAGTCGCACTTTTTTTATTTTCTTTGGCTGGGTTTGGCACCTGTTTCTGCTACTCCTACAACTGAAAATTTACATGTTCGTTATGTTCACACTGTCAGCCACTAGAGGGCACTTTAACTGGCTAGTGCAGCTTATACTCCAGAGCGACTTATATATGGGTTTTTTTTTTGTCATTATGCATTTTTTGGCAACTTACCACTTAGTCTGAAAAATACGGTAGTTATCCAGTGGAACCGTTTTGTTCACATTTGTGGCTCAAAATTAAATTTAAAATGTTGACCACTGCATGTCAATACTGTAATTACTATCACCATATGCAGTAATTATGGATTAATACTATGTACTTCAACATCACATAATTTTTGTATTATTTGTATCATTTTGTAGATGTCTTCAAGACCTCATTACCTTAAAGTGTTGTATCCTAAGTTATAAGTACATTTTCACAACCCCATCTATGTACAACGTAGGGGGTTGTGACAATGTACATAAAGAAAGCATTTACTCTTAATCTGCTACTGCCTTGTATACAAGATGAGAGCATGAGTGTGAGTGCCCTTTTTTGACACCAACGTCAATTTTTGGAGGTGACAACAAAGTCATGGGTTCTGTTGGATTGAGGTCAAGCTAGCTAGATAGTTAGATAGATAGCTAGATACATAGATACGATTGACTATCACCGCTTCTGCTTACTGCTCCTTATTATTCTAAACAATAGTATACCTCAATGCTGTGGGGAGAGCCAATTCCTCTAAACCATACGTGTCAAACTCAAGGCCCGGGGGCAAAGTGCGGCCCACCAAGCCAATTTGTGTGGCCCGTGGGTGCTTAATAAGCATCCATGTAGCAGAGAAAGTAAATTAGTAAAAATTAAGTACATAAATAAGCATCCATGTAGCGGAGAAAGTAAATTAGTAAAAAGTAAGTACATTTCTTAACTCTGTCACACTGCGGCCCGGTACCAAATGACCTATGGACTGGTACTGGTCTGCAGACCAGTGGGGGCCCCTGATCTATACAATCTTCCAGTAACAATGGTCCTTCAAGGGGAGCTGTATTGCTAATGTGGCCCTTGGTGAAAATGACTTTAGACACCCTTGCTGAAATTAAATTTGCAGATGACACCACAAGGATTTACTTCAGTAGGTGGTGCGTTGAGCACAATTTGGTTCCTAACATCAACAAGGAGCTCATTGAGGAATAGGGTGTAGCAGGTGTCTGTTCCTGGGGATCCACATCTACCCCCAAGAAGACCTCACCATTCCCTAAGGACTGTAAGAAGAAATTGGCAATCTTCAGACATCCTAATGAACTTTGGTCACTGCACTAAGAACATTCCTACCAACTGCATTATATTACCTGTGACCTGCAATGACAATAAAGTTGACTATAAAGTAATTAACCATTGTGACTGACCCTGCTCTGATGATCATCTTTTTCAAATTTAATTTGATACAATTAGTTATTATATTGTTATACCATTGGTTCCTTATATGTTGGCAGATAGATATAGGCAAATTGAATGGTGTTCATTTCTATAGGTGTCCTACTATTAGATGTCTTGTACAAAGTGAGTGTTGGAGCCATCACAATCGATTCTGCATCACTAAATATTGACTGATATCTTTCATCAGTTAAATATTCATGTGGATTAAACAAGATGTATATTGATTTAGAAAAAATATTTCTGATAGAACAATAGACAACCATCAACAGAAAATGCCGTGTGCATTAGAGCGATGACAGAAAAAAAAGAATTTCCCAGTTGAAGTCAACGTCAAGTCGAAAATGTTTTTTCTTCCACATGTGTGCACTGCACTTTTACCATCAACCAAGAACACACCAAGCTGCCCAACATCGGAAATAGACATTGGAAGGAAAAACATGAGCAGAGAATATCTGTGCAGTCCATTCTGGTGATGACATTGTCACAGAACCAAGTGTAAAAAAAAACAGCCACTTGAGGGTCAAGTTACTTGGAAACAGTAGTTAGTTATTGATTACTGATAACTGCTCCAAGAAAGTAATCCAGTTACTTCGATTACTTATTTCCTTAAAAACTTACATTTTAAAAGCATGCACAAACTAAAATAAAGCAATTGACCTATTCAATCATTATTCATTATTCTATCAAATGAAACAGTCTTTTTACAAAACTTGATGCATTAGTTTCAGTCTTTAAACTTTATGTACATTGTATCAAAAAATTAAATTAAACAATCTGAAGAAAATGATTGAACATTTAAAGCTATTTTCTGGAAATTCCAACATTTAATTCTGAAGAAAATTATTGAACATTTAAACCTATTTTCTGGAAATTCCAACATTTAATGAAAGAAAGCAAGTCTTTTTTTCCTGTCAACTTATATTTCTGCATATCCCAGTATATACGTGTGGTGTATTTCACTAAATAACACACAGACAAACGGCATTCCCTAGCTAGGCTACAACCAAGTTACCAAAATAGTTAAACTTAAAAGTTTAATATATCACAATACGTAACAGAGGTTAGTAGTTATGTGGTTATAATTACACAAAAATGTTTTATTTGTTCTACCTGGCGGAAGTGGGTTGGTCCTCCCTGGGCGGAAATTTGACGTATACATTTTGATATAAAATGTCAGCCACACCCAACCTCTCACTCTTTCTTCAGACTTTGTGGGAGAGGTTAATGGGTTTTTTTTGTTGCAATTTTGCAGAATATATTTATTTTATTTATACTTTATAGGGGCTCGGGTGGTGTCCAGGAGGAAAATGTATTTTGTTCTATATGAATTCCGTCATATCAATACGACGTCTGTGACAGCAGAATGACGGCTCTCATTAAACACAATGCAGAGGCTACAATTAGTTTTGTGTTTATACTTCATTTGCATAAATGTTTACGAAATACAGCAAAAAAACAAACAAACAAAAACTTTTGTGCGGTCTTTGTGTGCGTGTGCATGTTCGTGTACTGCACAACCTGTCCCAACTTTTCCTCATATTCATTAATACTCATATTCTGGGACAAGATGGAAATCATTGCAAGGACAAACGGTGTGTACAAAAATGCGAAGGACAACGGGAGGGTTAAGTCTATATTCACCTGTTCAGCAGAAGAGTCTAACGATTCGGTGAAACTGGATGTCGTACCGGCAGCAGTAATGTCAGCAGGGAGACCCGGGGTTTCCCAAAAAATTTCACATTCCTTGGCCGGCTCGCTAGGTGCTTGTTCAGATTTGATGTGGAATTTTTTCGCGGTAGATACAATTTTTCTTCCCACGCAGAGGTCCGCCGATGTAACACCACGACGTCACTGTCATGAAGCGTCCCGGCACTTCCTGAAGGAAAGAAACAGTAATCTTATTACATTGTTTTTACAACTTGCAGCCTTGCAATCCTGCAGTACTATCACAAAGAACATTGCAGGAAGCAGGCAGGACCCAAATGCAGTACTGGTGAGACTCTTTCTGGTGCAGGTAGTTTTATTTTCAAAGTGCAAGGCCAAAACAACAACAAAAAACTCACTTCTTCACAAGACCAGGAACAAGGCATAAACCAGACTATAGACCTAAGTACAAACTAAGAACTCAAAGGACACACTAAGCTGAGCACAGGAACAGATACAATGATTCAACCAAGACAGAGTGAGGGAGAGGGGTATATATATACACAGGGAGCACCAGGTGACACAAGTGAAGCTAATTACCAACAGGTGAGTGTGATCCAACAGATAACCCCACAAAGACAACAGGGGAAAGGAAACAGACAGACATGACAGAACAAAGAAAACAAAAACAATTGTTGTTAAAAGCTAACAATAACTACTGCAATAATCACTTTTTTGGGTGGGAAAATGAATAAAAAAGAAAATAAGACTACCAGAATCAACAATCACCAACAACGTCCAAATAAAGTGAACCCAAGGAACAACAGAGTGAACAAAACAGCAGTCTAATACTGTCTAATAAAAGGAGAAAAACAACAGATAAAAGACAAATTCTGTCAAACTTTCTGAAGAAAGAAAAGTAGTAAGTAGCGTGGTTTATCGCGCAGCAACGGGACCCTTCATATCATAAGAGCCAGCAGGTTTGCACAGTGCCCTCCAGTGGCAGCGAGGGCAATGACCTGCTATTTAACCTGCTGTTTAATCTTTTGAAGCGTATTGCAGTTATACATCTATAAACGTGTAAGCATCTAGCATACAAAATAAACAAACAAGCCTCGTGCTCAAACCTTTCTAAAAGTATGTTTGATCCTAATAAATCCAGTATTTTTGGGGACGGTTAAAACTCAGCTGCAATAAAGTAAAACTATCACAAGATGGCGCTGCCGTAAAGCATAAAGAAGTGAGACTGCCCGCTTGTGTTTTTAGCAGCTAAAAACGTAGACGTTATCACGTTCGAATGGAAGTCCTTTCCGTTCTTTCCCGCCTCCATTATCAGAGGAAGGATATGTTTGTTATGACAGTGTTCTGGAATTTTCAACGCAAGTGATTCGAAAAAAGGGAAAAAAACTCAAGAGGAAAAATTAATTATGTTAACATAGAACATTATTAATTTTTCCTCTTGAGTTTTTTTCTGTTTCGATTGTGTGTAGACGCGGGGGGGGGGGGGGGGGATACTTAAGGAAAGGGGTCACTAGCCATCTTGAAACTGAGATCTATGTTGATATATTTTTATCGTACTGTAAATTCCGTCTTTCCACTAGGTGTCAGCAGACACCTAGTTCAATAAGTAACTTACAACTGCTGTTTCATCTAAACAGATGTCTGATCAGTACGAATATAGAATCAATGTTACTTGCTTTTTTCTTTTTGGCCTTTTAGAGTACAGTAACTATATATAGTCTACTTATTTAATCGTTTGACTTTTTCCCTAACCTTAAAATAAGCAAAATATTCAATGCCTTACAAGTGAATTAAAATATACAGAAACCCAAAATTGGAATCTCATTATCGTTTTAAAAGAATAAACAGATAATCATACAGTTATAGTACATTAGTATTATCTTTTCTAGTATTTAGAGTAAATTTTATTCCACTACACATACACTACGTAACTTACAAAAAAATTTGTTTAAATAAATTAATAAAAATTTTAAAAAAGTAATACATTTTTACTTTTTATAAATATATATATAAATAAATATATATATATATATATATACAAGGGCGCTTTGGCCCAGAGGCAATGTCTCTGTCATTGGTGTGGAACCCCAGGGTTCACCTCCTGGGCAAGTTCGAATCCCGGTTAGGGCGGTTGGTACCTTCCAGTGGACTCACCACCCGCAGGAAGGTTTGGTATGGTGCAATGTGATTTGGGTGGCGACTGCTGCCCCCGCGACCCGGAAACGGATAAGCGGATGAAAATGGATGGAT